AGCTCGCGCCGGATAAAATAACCCGACACGATGACATAATTGTGAATTATTGCCCCATAAAACGCGTACACGTGCTTCGCGAAACGATGGCGGTGAATGGCGGGCCGCGTTTCCCCGGTTATAATTGCCCTGTCGCTGGCTCCCAAGCATCTTAACCGACCCTTCGTCCCGTTTTTAGTTTCTTTGCACTTGAGACACATCCGTCCATAATCATTAGGACGTCTGTTTTTTTATCGGTGCAATTGCTTGTCGTTTCATTCAGTTTGTACACGTTCTTAAATTCTTGAATTTATAAATTCCTGAATTCCTAAACTCGTGAATTCTTAAATTCCTAAATATCTAAATTTTATAATTCCTAAATTCCTAAATTCTTATATTCTGGAATTTATAAATTCCTGAATTCCTAAACTCCTGAATTCTTAAATTCCAAAATATCTGAATTTTTTAATTCCTAAATTCATGAATTCTTAAATTCCTAAATATCTGAATTTTTTAATTCTTGAATTCCTGAATTCTTAAATTCCTGAATTCTTGAATTCCTAAATCCTTGAGTTCATATAAAATCCAAGAATCACTACTCTCCACAATTGAAGGGATTCATAGGTCTACCTTCGACAATATCATCAGACCCACATCTCCCCCACATATCTCAGGAACAAACAACAAAAACTGGTTAATCTAAACCTTCTTGAATCCTAAAATAAACATCCTATCTGATCTGAAGCTCTCTGATGGTACTAAATAACCAAAGACTGAAAATGTAAAATCCAAGAATCACCACTCTCCACAATTAAAGGGATTCATAGGTCTACCTTCGACAATATCATCAGACCCACATCTCCCCTAACTATCTCAGGAACAAACAACAAAAACTGTTTAATCTAAACCTTCTTGAATCCTAAAATATACACGTGCTTCGCGAAACGATGGCGGTGAATGGCGGGCCGCGTTTCCCCGGTTATAATTGCCCTGTCGCTGGCTCCCAAGCATCTTAACCGACCCTTCGTCCCGTTTTTAGTTTCTTTGCACTTGAGACACATCCGTCCATAATCATTAGGACGTCTGTTTTTTTATCGGTGCAATTGCTTGTCGTTTCATTCAGTTTGTACACGTTCTTAAATTCTTGAATTTATAAATTCCTGAATTCCTAAACTCGTGAATTCTTAAATTCCTAAATATCTAAATTTTATAATTCCTAAATTCCTAAATTCTTATATTCTGGAATTTATAAATTCCTGAATTCCTAAACTCCTGAATTCTTAAATTCCAAAATATCTGAATTTTTTAATTCCTAAATTCATGAATTCTTAAATTCCTAAATATCTGAATTTTTTAATTCTTGAATTCCTGAATTCTTAAATTCCTGAATTCTTGAATTCCTAAATCCTTGAGTTCTTGAATTCCTGGATTCCTAAATCCTTGAGTTCCTGAACTCCTAAATTCCCAAATTCTTCGAATACCATTCTTCCAAATTTTCATACTTTAAAATATATAAATTTCAATATTTTCAAATTACCAAATCGTCACATTCCCGAATTCCAACAATACCAAATAAATGATCGTTGCCCATGAGGCTTCAACATCCTCCAAAACAATATTCATTTCAGACCTCCAACAATTTCATAATGGCCCATCACATCTACCTCATTCTCCACCCTACTCGACAAGTGTCCCGATACTTATGAACGGAAGTGTATCTGTCCATAAACTTTTCCCATTATTTCGGCATCTCTAGACTCCACCCCGTAAAATGGTCCCATATATTTATTAACTCCCCACCGTGTTATCGTTCACAATGTATACACTTTTTTGTTCGCAACAGCGTCGCGTCCCAGGAACCAGCGTCGTTTCGCCCCCTCGAGTCGCCGTTACGTCGACAGTTTCTATGCCAACGCGCGATTTCCTGTGAGGTTATTCCACCGTTGTGTCATTCTTACGGTCCAACTGCCCCCCCCCCTCTCCCCACCGGATTTATTCGTTTACAACGACACAGACTGGGCAGTCGTACGTTAAGATCATCATAAAAAGGTTAGAAGTTACGGTACGGACACTTTTTGGGCGGAGGGTATCGGCGGGTATGGGTCGAAACCGGTGCCAAAATGTCTCCCCTTCCGGTCGGCACGACCATCGTTTCCGTTGGCGCCCGTTGGATTCGCTGGGATCGCGGAATCCTTTCCAACGATTTCATCCCGAATGTAGAACGAACATCAAATTTTTATCGATGTTTGAAAATCAGAAAGTGGGACAATAGTGACTTGAAATTTCTTTTGGAGTCTCCACTTTTTGAGATTAATTTTTCAAATAAATATTATTGTAATGGTATGAGATCCGTGGGGCTTAATATACTATCCTTTAATTTGATTACTGCGAGTTTTGGTAAATTCGCTTGAGGATAAATAGTGTGTAGTAGTCTATTAAAAAATGTGGAAATATCGAGGGAGATGCCCTAGAAGTACCATACTGGGACCCTAGTAGCATACAAAAGGCACGATTGATCCTTCAAATATTGAAAAGATTACTTTTAATTGTTCAAAAGAAAAGGATTTCTGACACCTTATTTTCTGTATTTGAAGACATGGTAGGTGAGCCCTTATCCTGTAGGAGACACATGGTACCCCTGTATCACATAACAAAGCCCATTATGTCAAAGAACACTAGAAGAACTTTGTCCATAATTGTTCCCAAGAAAATAATCTGTAACAGTGTACATTTATGGTTCGTCTTGTACGTACAAAGACTGTAAGAATTACCCAAAAGGGATGGCGGGATTCATCCCCCAGGACTTGTCTACGTTCCAGCCAAGCAAAGCTCTTAAGTGGCTCGTTTGTGGGCGGTCGTGAAGTAAGTTACAGCCCCCAGCACGAAACCTGAACGCACATTACCGAATGGTGCATTACAGATCGTGTAGTGCCGTTGAAATAATAAACAACATAGAGCCCTGAAACGTATAACTTTGCTAACTACTAAATACGAGGGAAAACTGTCTTTAAACACGAAGGAGGTGTATGCACCAGAGACCTTTGATGAGACCACATGCAATCACGATAACTGTGTTTGTATAACAAGGTAAATGGAATGGTTGTAGAAGTGTTTTAAAAATGCACCATAGTTCTAAGTGATTAGAAATACTGCAAAGAGAGTGCAGTAATGAAGTTTAGCGCCTGAGAAGTTAAATTTAAGTGTCTTATCTTCATTTCAAGTTATATTTATGATTGGGAATTAGGGTGAAAAAGTTATCTAGAGAATGGATCAGTATCTGAAAGAGAATCCATAATCCATCTATTGTTGGTGGACCATTGTAAACATCCCCCTTGAATCACAGCCTTCTAAAGCCAGGCTATTATGTCTCCATTGTGTTTATATCACGTATGCACACATGGGGCAATGTCAGCTAGGGTTCATGTATTATACTAATAGGGGAAAACCTTACCATGTTCCGTGCTATTTACATTATGAAAATGTATTCAAATTAGGGGAATTCTGTGAATGTAACATAATATTTTAAGCTTACTGAACTTCCTGATATCATAAAATTTATATATTATACTCCACTGATATCTCATACTCCAGACTCATAAAAATCTGACTAGGATTCTAGGAATAATTCAAACAGAAACCATTCATATAAGAAGATAAATACGAAGCACTAGTGGCGCCGTCTGACGTCTGTAACTGGAAGTTGAAAGTTGCTATGTGAAGTTAGATGAAGGGAGTATTGAGGACCAGGCCATTGATGACCAAACTCTGTGAGATTAGTTTCAAAACCTTCACTAATGGTTGACATTTGACCTATCCACCCAAGATACTCTAAGTTCCCTGATTCATATCCCCGTCCCACTCTGAATATCTAGGTGACCCCACCCCCTATTAAGCTCATGAAACTACAAGATAAACCCTACAGATAGAGTCCAATATCAGATCTCCTACAAACATAGGAAAACACCTAAGGCTTCAAATTATTCTCATACTCCAGATTTACTGTTCGGCCTTATTATTCTGATCTGATAACTTTAATAGGGATTTATAGGTGTGACTTTGACAATATCATCAAACCCCTATCTCATCTATACCTTTTAGGAAAGAACAACAGAAACTGGTTCATCTGAACTTCTTGATTGGAACTTCTGATCTCTGATGGTACCTTTGACCCTATCTCACCCTATCAAACCCAATCCAAGATTCACCACTCTCCACAACTGAAGGGATTCATAGGTCTACCTTCGACAATATCATCAGACCCACATCTCCCCCACCTTTCTCAGGAACAAACAACAAAAACTGGTTAATCTAAACCTCCTTGAATCCTAAAATAAACATCCTATCTGATCTGAAGCTCTCTGATGGTACCAAATAACCAAAGACTGAAAATATAAAATCCAAGAATCACTACTCTCCACAATTGAAGGGATTCATAGGTCTACCTTCGACAATATCATCAGACCCACATCTCCCCCACATATCTCAGGAACAAACAACAAAAACTGGTTAATCTAAACCTTCTTGAATCCTAAAATAAACATCCTATCTGATCTGAAGCTCTCTGATGGTACTAAATAACCAAAGACTGAAAATGTAAAATCCAAGAATCACCACTCTCCACAATTAAAGGGATTCATAGGTCTACCTTCGACAATATCATCAGACCCACATCTCCCCTAACTATCTCAGGAACAAACAACAAAAACTGTTTAATCTAAACCTTCTTGAATCCTAAAATAAACATCCCATCTGATCTGAAGCTCTCTGATGGTACTAAATAACCAAAGACTGAAAATGTAAAATCCAAGAATCACCACTCTCCACAATTAAAGGGATTCATAGGTCTACCTTCGACAATATCATCAGACCCACATCTCCCCTAACTATCTCAGGAACAAACAACAAAAACTGTTTAATCTAAACCTTCTTGAATCCTAAAATGAACATCCTGTCTGATCTGAAGCTCCCCGAAGGTACCAGTTTAATAACCTAAGTCTGAAAATATAAAATCCAAGACTCACCAGTCTGCACGAGCTTGAGCGCGGCCGCATTGTGCTGCTTGAGGGGTTCGTTGAGTCCTGGCTGCGTGAGGTCCTTGAGAGGATTGCCGGCGTCCTCGCCGGCGCCACGGCTGTTTTGCATAGTCCTGGTGCCGTCCCGGGCAACAGCGCCCCTAGTGTTCTCGTAATTCCGAGCCTCGTTACGTCGGGCTCCTCTTCTTCGCGTCTGACCGCTTCTCCTTCGCCTCTTGCTTTTCTCCTTTCTCCACTTGGAATCCTCCTCGACCGGTTCGGCGGTCTCGCTGACAGCGATCACGGTGATCTGGCAGCTCGGACGGCGGAGTCGATCGCCAGTCAACACTGAGCTATTACGATCACGCGCGGGATGATTCTCATAGATTCGCAGGAGCTCGTCCGCCGGGTAGATGACGTACATGCCCAGCCGATGCTGCCGATGATGACGGTGTTACCCGCGCCCTCTTTCTCGCCGCGACGGATCGCACGGTGCTGGCTACCGCCGGCTTTGCTGCTGCTGCTACTGCTCCTGCCTGTGCTGCTGCCGTTTCTCTCGGGTCCGCCGCGTGAGCCAACATCGTTGCCCGCCAATTCATCGTCTGCGAGTCTCCCGCGAGTCACGCTGCCAGGCCACGCGAACACCCGCATCTTCTTGGCACCCGAGCAGCCACCGTTGCCTCCTTCCTTGCGCGCACTCACACGCCCGTCAGACTTTCCGGTGTTTTTCTTTGCTCGGTTGAAACCACGCCGTTCGATCTGATTCACCTCTTCCACTCTCTGTGCTGCCACAGTTCAGGGGATCGACAGGACGCCAGCCATGGGATCCAGGCCGAACTAACGACCTCCCATGAGCGGGGGATGTCTCGCCGCCTGGAAACAGAAGAATTATGGTCAGAGGTGTGGAAATGATAATTTTATCTCGATAGGGTAGGGACATTATATTTTAGGATCGTGGCAGGATTGAGAAGATTGGGGTTCAGTAACATGTGTTAGTGGGTCTGTGGAGACTCTGCCTTGGGATGATCAACTTTTTACTTCTGGTTTCAATGTGGTATTGTTTTTCTGCTAGTGGCAGTCTTGGTATAACACGGAACTACCATAACACGATACCCTCATAACACGATACATTACTACACGGTTTCCTACAATGTGTACGGTTAAAGAATTGTGCAGAGTAGCATAGTTTTGTTAGTTTTGGGAACCTAACCTTATTTTTTGTATGCTGTAGACATACTAGTTCTTGGATTCGTATAACACGACAATTTTTACGAACCTGACCATTGTGTTATATGAGAGTTACCTGAACATTTATAAATTGAATAATTATAGTGATTCATTGTCTACAATCGTGGGGTTGTTTTTGAAGGAGTTGTCGGTTCTTTTTCGAGGTTTCTTTCTGTTTTCTGGATTTCTTTCGAAAGTTACAGTATCACTTAGGGAATGGTCGTTACGAGTCGGGAAAGTTTTGTTGGTGCAATAACATTCAAACTTCCGTCTCATACTGGTTTGGTCCAGTTTCCCACCCCTTCGACTGAGTCATAAGCGGCTAACCTTATTTCGGCCGGGAAAACTTTATAAGTAACATCACTTCATTAATTGAAATATTTTTACTATTATAAATATTAACTAAAAATAACGTTAAAAAAATAAGGAAATAAAAGTTATTCAGGATTCAATATAGGGATTTACTTTTTGCTTTGGTAATCTTGCCCAGTTTTATTTTTGTTTCCATCGATATTCATCCCGACAATGGCTGGTCAGGATTTATGTAAGCGACGGTTTCGTTACTATGAATTATTGATAGATTCAATTTTAGCCTGGATAAGACTGAGTTTTGTACCACTGCAAGAGGAGTACTTTGTTTACAGGGTAAACGACTTATTCAACTGAATAAAGACGGAAACGTCCTCTTATTTCCGTGATTCGATAAACCCGACGTCATGCAAATCTCACCGGTGATTTAAATCTAATTTGAATGCTTTTCAATGGGAGGTAGGCTGGACAAAGCCTGAGTTCGAGTGCCTTTTAATCCTGAGTTTGAGGGGACTTTTCACAAGCGCTAAACAAATTTTCGCCGCGGAAATAGATTTCAAGGCAGTATATTGTTTAACAAAAATTGCTAATAAAGAATCACTGCCTTCTTGAACTCCTAAACTCCTGAATTCTAAACTCACAAATTCCTGAATTCTTGAAATCATAAAGTCCCAAATTTCTGAATTCCCGAATTCCTAAATTTTTTAATTTCCACACTTTTCAAATTTTCAAATTGCCATACTTCCAAATTTTTAAACTTTGAATTTCATAATCTCAAAATCTCCACGTTCCAAATTCTTGGATTCCTGAACATTTACTTTCTTAATCCAAATTACGTAATTTCATAAAATGCAATGTTCATGCACTGTAAAAAATGACCAACATTAGATACAGGTATATGAATTATTGTACTCCTGTTTCATTACGTACACGAGCCATTGCCATTTCCATACCAGCGTCGTGCATTTTGTACACGGAATGCAAATATAATTTGGCCATCAATTCCGACTGGATATCACGCTATAACCATTTGTAGAATCCCAGGGGAAACTCGTGGCCCATTAGGTTTGTGAAGAAACGAGTGGCTGTGTATGGGAATCGATCAATCAATCAAGATAACACTCTGATCCTTCTCCTTATACCAGGATCAAATACGAATCTCATCTATCCAGATGTATCAGCCCTCGTAGCGTTCATGCGCATCTACATTCAATTTTCAATTTTCCTCCGTTTAAGCCACTAAAGAGATAGGTAAATACTAGGCGCCTTTAGACGTAAAACTGAACTCGAAAAATAAATTAACTAACACAAATCAAGTGTAATAAGTAAATAGAAATAAAATACAAAATGACCAAATGACCCCTTTAGATAACCAAAATGGCCCCTGTGGGTAACCAAAATGGCGCCTGATTTCGGATAAAAAAAAATGCCGATTTCGTCATGAATTAAAATTTATTCCGGTATATCTCGAGTCTCGAGATTAACATTATAATAATAATAATATTTATGGGGTCGAGATTGCCTTGTTAATTTTCCTCGAAAAGCTTATCTGTCCCGGCGGTACGAACAAATGACGCAATTATTATAGCGCGAAACGAGAGATGAAAACGGGGGGAAGTCTCGCGCGTTGATAAACCCGGCGAATGGACCTTTTTAAGTAATTGAACAGCTCTATCGCGGAAAAGCACGGGCGCCGACGATTATTCCACCTGTCGTCGCGGAAATTCTTCGTAAAGTTCTATGCAAACTGAGATAAGCCCAGTTCGTCTATAATTACACGTCCCGTCGAAGACTGTACTTTCATCGCGTAAAAAAAAGATTATTATAAACCTCCATCCTCAATTCGAGCCAAATACACTTTTCTTTCCATCCTTTCTTTCGTAAATACCGCCACTCGTTCGCGGCAGACATTTTGAAAAAATTGGCGAAGTCCTAATTTACCTTCTGCCGCGATGATTTTGATTGTACCATAATAATGGAACGATGTATTCTTTGAAAGACAAGAAATTTTGGAACTATTTAGAACATAAAACTAAAGAAACGATAAAATAATAAAGTGTAGAAAATGAACCTAACCTATTTGGAAGACGAATATTTTTTTAATACCGACATTCTAACTTTAATTCTTGTTGAAAGGAGGATTATTAGTTACTATAAGGCGTTTAACAGCGGCGTTTAACTTGAAATATCTATATCTAGATATACATATAGGGTGAGTCAATAAGAACTGGCTTTTAAAATAAGTGGTTACCTCTTGGTTGCATTAAAAAACATTTCAAACGCATTTAAAGGGACCACTTCATCACGAATTTGATTTTTTCATGTATTATATTTTCGGAGATATCAAGGTAACCTTGAGTTTTTTCAAGGTCAATAAATCTTTTTTCCCTAGACCTTTTTATAGATCGTTCAATTTGTCTCTTTATCGACTAGAACACAACACTAAAAAAAATTCATTGACCTTGAAAAACACAAGGTGACCTTGATATCTCAGAAAATATAAGATATAAAAAAATCAAATTGCATCCATTCGGTGGGTCACTTCGAATGCAATGTAATTCGTTTAAAATGTTTTTTTATACAACCAATAAGTAACGAGTTATTTTAGATAATACAAACTTCTTATTAACTCACCCTGTATATATATCGAACAAAGATGGCGGACGCTGTGTTGCGCCGCATCAATGGCGGGCAGACGCGTGTCGAAGACGCGCTTGGCTTTTATGGGCCGTTTCTTATGCATCGAACTCGATAAACAGACGACAGGAATTACGGAATTCGATGAATAAATATGGCACACTTTGCATCAAAGTGTTTCCCGTCAACGCTCACTTCGCTTCCCTATTATTGGATTACCCGATTCGCGTTCTCCGTTGGTTTTACGGCCTCTTGATTCTCTCGACGAGTGCCACTTTTCTGTGCCACGTAAATTATTTGCACGGTCGATAAATCAGGTTCCACAGCTTTTCGAGGGAAAAAAAGTGACAGAAACTACAAGTTTTTATTTCAGATTCTACGATACGGAGAACAATTCATAATTTGATATCTGGTAAAAAAAAACGAATCTTCTGACTATTCATTCTTTTAATCATTCAATTTATTTGTTATAAGTTACAACTACCATGTCACTTACCATTCCTTTTTTTAAAATAAAAAGCTATTCTTTATGAACAGTGCCTACTGGTCCAGTTCCCTAACAGTTACCGCCATTTGTAAACAAGGAAACGGCGGGAAAATATTTTCAATTTAAACTGTTCTGCTCATTCAGACTCAGTCGAAATGACTGATTCTGCATTTCCTCAGATTCCACAACTTTCCTTGCAATATAAAAGTGAAGAAACTAGTTAATTTATAAATTTATATATTTTCAAAAGTTTATCATGTTAATCAATCCGATAGAAACAGACAGTTCTGCATAATATTGAACAAACTCTAGAATATTGGTGCATCTATCAATAAATTTTCATTAAATAACAATTACACGTTCTACTTACAATAATCATATCAGTCTAAAGAGCTGAATCTTAAACTTCGATCATTACCAAAATTGGACGAGAAAAGTGATAGAAAATAATTCCCTGCCACGAAGTTACAAGAAGCGAAGTTCGCCATCCAACCCAACAAAATAATGTCTATATATACCAAAAGTTTCGTAGCAGAACAAAATGGTGGTAACGAACATGGAAAACTCCGAATGTATCTGAGAGAACAAGATTTCGAGGATGCTGTGTCGAGTTTTCCTCGGAGCACGAGATTCTCGGAACGGAAACCTGAGTGCCGGATAATTGAGCGAGTGCTCCAATTATTCGCCGATGGAACAGAATGCACGGCCAACGAAGCTTTTTTTTTTTCTCTTTCTTTCTTTTAATCCAATATTGTAACGCGATTCCCGAACTTTTCCCGCGTGTCCCTTTAAAAACGCTAGTGAGTCCCCTCTCTCGGGCCCCCCTTTTTTATTCTCTGTCCACAGACTGCTGCATCAACGACTAATGAATCAGGTTAGCGACTCTGAAAGGGAGACAAGAATGCTGATGAAACGGGGGGAGTGACCGGAAAAGTGTCCCGTGATTTCATTTTGCTGGCGCGTATTAATCATTTTAATCGAACGCACATAGAATAACGAATTTTTAAACTATTCACAGGCAGAAATAATTTGGAATTTCGCAAAAATTCCGCTTCTGATTGGGACGGGGTGACTGCACCATTATTAAATTTAAGTCAAAATTAATCCATCAAGTATAACGTCATTATCAACCCTTATCCGTTCCTCATTTTCCCAACTTAATTTGTCCCTCGGTGTCAAATTGACCCAGTGGTAAAAATCAACACAATGAAGTGATAAATAGTTGAATTAGCAAATTCTTTACAATAAAAATCACGAAGCCTCAGTTAAATTTACATAAACATGACAGAATGACGTCATTTCTTCGGGGAAAACTGTGTCGAATTGACACAAGGGCATTGGCGTAACTAGAATTTTTTTCTGGAGCGGCTAGGTCCCCTGACTTTCGCCTATAACACTGCCCATCAGGCATCTGTACGTAATTTAATTGATTACCTTTCAATTGATGTTGCAGGATTATTAGTTAAGTAGAATGTAAAAATTAAATAGCTTAATTCTAATATAACTTTACTTAATACTTTAACGTTTCGTACTTAGTTGCATTGCGTATTGCATTTTGGCCCATGTATTTATTTTTTATAACATAAAATGTTACCAACTGACGAATGTTTTTTTTTATATATTTCCATCATTTCTGGACGGGGGGAACAGTCCGTGTTCTAGAGGGGCCAGGCCCACCCTGGCCCCTACCTAGTTATGCCAATGCACAAGGGATGAATGCGAGTTAAATAATGCGAAATGTTATTACGAATTTGCACAGACTCGTACAGAACATATCATATTGTAACAAATTATAACAAACATGTTTGATAGCAACGTTATATAACAATTTGTTATACAACACTATTTTCCTACATGTGTAGACGCAGCTTCAGGCAATACGTTTGATCCCCATCACTGGTGGATGACATCCCTGTACGGGGACGCATAGACTTTACAGATTGTGTGTGGAATCGAATATCCAGGTCTCTTATTCCTGTTTTCCATGATGTTCGAGGCACGTAGTTCCCCGACCTCGTCGGCAACGTGTCAAGTACGTTCGTCGAACCGCGGCAGTCACGTGCCGTTGCATAATTTCAACGCGTGGCGCTCCGGCTACAACCCCGGAAGGATGATGATAGGAGACGTGCGAACTTGATAATGTAGCCGCACGAACTGCTTCATAAATTGACAACAGCAGTTACGATTGACGATCCACGCCGTCTAATTACTTTCGATCGATTAATTCTTACACGATGGAGAACGGATTCACTTTTCAGTTGAAAGGTGTTAACAGTTTGATTGTGGATTCTTAGGCAAAATGTCATTATTTAAACTAATTCGTGAACACAAATGTAAAAAACTGAATTTTTTCTTCCTCTTTTGAGGATTTTATCGAGTTAAACGTTTTGATTTTTGTTGTATCTTACACGGTCCTATAAGTTATTAATTTATATAATTCGTGAACTATTAATGATAAACAAGCAAAAGAAAACTAAGTAGCAAAATTTATGAAATGCTAGTCTGATGTTTCTTTCAACCTTATTTACGATGTATAAACAACTTCTTCTGAATAAATTTGTAATAGAATTTGAATTTGATATTTGGCCCGCGAATTCGGCAAAAATGGCGCAGAATGTATTCTGGGGCAACGGAAAATTGTCAACTAATTAAAACAATTGCAGAACTTTGGCAAGATGCTAGTTCGATAGCCAAAGAAAAGGAAAAGTTGCACAGAAATTGTTCTAATTCCGAAAAAATTCGTAATAAAACGTCTACGAATGTCAGAGGTTTAAAACAATGGACAATATTAAAGTCGAAAAAAGAAAGCAAAACCGATCCTCAGACTCGCGTTGGCTTAGGAGTTTAATCACGAAACGAATTACCTGAAACTTTTTCAAAGACCGGGGTAACGAGTTTTCGACGATTCAAAGCTGTAGAGAAATAGAATCGTGGGGGAGGAAGATAGAAGTGGATTGAATCGTCCGTCATATTTGCATAACTGAAGATCTATAGAAGAACGGAAAATGAAAGATTTTTGGAATTTGTTTTTCTCTCCTCGGAACAAGGTTCGGTAAATAAGCGAAAAATAACAAAATTTTGGCATTTTTTTTTTCTCCAATGCAAGGTTCGATAAATAAACATAAAATTTCGTTGCTGGAAAATAAAACTGGGCTCGATGTAACGCGTATTTCGATGATGAGCCGAGCAATCACATTGCCGGAATTGGAAATTCAATATTTCAATAATCCAGAGATTCAATATAAAATACATGAAATCAATTTATTAAAATAAATACGGTAATAAAAGTATATACATATAAATTGTTAAATATGACACATTTCATGATAGGGTTAATGTCGTTTCTGGAAATGGTAACTAGGTGTAGCAAATACCATATATACTCAAGGTATTGATAAAGATTTAATGCGGTGAATATGCAGTTGAAATATTTATTTCTGATTGTTGGCTATAAAATATTGTGGTGTAATGTTCAATTGTACTAATCGATATAAATTACAATTACGGTTAATTAGATTCCGATTTTCCTAGTTCAAGGGACTTCCGTGCCATCGTCAGCGCACCCTCCCTGGTTTTACATCCACCGATAAAACGCACCGAATGCACAAAAATGGCGCCGTCAATTCCACTAGCACGTTCTAAATCCTCATCTCGCAGTCCTGCCCAAGATTCTGGTAAAAACATTCTACAAGACAACATTGCGCATTAAGAATCCAAACCACTCTCGAGAGAACTAGAAGGGCTGTATATTGTACCTGCACACAAAACTGCTAGGCACCACAGGAACGCATCGAACTCTATGGCTAGAATCTTTGAAAATTATATACTTCAATGTAGGCTGTAGATTCAACTCTTTTTCTATAGCAAACAAGTGCTCGGACCATTCCACTGCACACGGCAACTCTATAATTTCCCCACTTGGATCTACCTGTAAATATTTTCCTACTGTGAAACTACAAATGTCTACTCACACTTCAATTTTCATAGACTATTTTTACAAAAGGTAAAATTAGAGAACAATTTTATTTCATAGATTAAAGAGTTTATCGAACAAACACTAATATAGAAGAATCTAATTTGGTACAAACTTGCACAGTAGTTGAACACTCCATTATGATATTTAACTTAATTATAATGGATCCTCAAAGATGTACAATGATTAGATATATTTCAATATCAGTAACAACATTGCTACTGATTACAAATTTATATTAATGATGTTTACCTCGAATCGTTTTTTAATGGATTCTTCCACAATAGATCTAGCTGGAAGCCAAGAATTTGCCGTACAAAATACATGCTGCACAAAATCTTTGCCGGTGAGTTCAACAGCTTTCAAAAACTGTTCCTGAACATCAATGTCTTTACTATTCCATATAGGATTCAAAAAGTGTACACGAGCAGATAAATGCGTGACTATTCGATATCTAAAAGAAATATTATAAGAGCTCATTCTATCAGTTCTACTGGTAATAATACCAATAACAATCAACTTACACAGGTTCTCCATCAAACATTGAAACTCCATTGTCTATACAATCAATTTCTTTAATAAATGTATCATAAACTTTCTTAAAAATTGTCTCTATATCACTGTCACTTGCTTCTGGAAGCAACTGCTTAAGAACTTCATGGCCGAAATGGCAATAAATTAAACCTGCACTACTCAATTTCAGTTTACAATCGTATCCTGGTTTCTTTATAACTGTACTCACTGATTCATTAAAATCCCTAACACATAAGATAAATTAAGATCCTTAAATCTAATTCCACATGTTAAATATGAAACAGCACTACCTAACGTTCAAATATACCTCATATGATGATCATAACGATGCTTTGAATGATTATATTCACTTCCAACATCAACTACCACATCGCAAGTGTCCAAAATACTTTGTTCTCGTGATCTAAAAATTTTTGTAATATTCTGTATCTTTCAAGGATTTCTATACAAATTCTTTGAACTTCACTCCACAAAAAGTAGTACATCTATGTATGTATATATATATATAAATCTACATGTTTCAAGTTGGAAAATATTTTTACCTGATGATTTCTGCATCTTTGTATCGTGGCAGTGTCTTCAGCATGAAACACGCAAGAGCCTCATCGCAATGGAAACATCCGTCGTGCGTTCCGATTTTTATTTTTCCCGTCATCGTCACAAACCCTCGTAGTTTCACTCGCGTATAGGTTAGGAAGCCTGATGTCGCAAGTGGGTTCGCAAGACGTCGTAAAGATTGCATAAAACGTGACAGTAATTAAATTATATGCTCACTGGGAAGCTCGTAAACTGGTGCAACACGTTTCGTCGCGTTCCGACTATATCTAAACACAAGTGAACAGTGTCGTGTTAATAACCTCTCGACAAGCGTGCTTCTTATTGGTACTATTGCAAGTAACTGTCGCCGATAGCTAGGAACGTTTAATGCCACGACTGCGCGGAATCAATAAATCCCTGAATAAGCGGGAATATTTGAAATTCAATTGAACTCAGTGTCAGATTTGATATAAAACTGATTCAAATTCAGTTATTTGTACCGTACAAGCAATAATTTTTAAATTCCATAAGGTTTAGAAGATACATAGAATCTTAACAGGCGGAGTCAGAAGACATAGAGTTTATAAAATTTTAGCAATCTGTTAAGATACTGGGAACTTTGAAAGCACCCCTAGTCCCATATATAACAATTTCAACATCTTGCTAAAATATTCTCAGCTTCATCTCTCTTTTCACACTTCTGAAATATGTACTCCAGAAGTCCCATTCATTTTAATGCCATGTCATGAGAATGTATAGCATTGGGATGTACTTTTGAAACTGATCAGATAGAATACTTGAAATGATTTATGATTCTCCTAAGGGTGGTTGGATAAGATGGTCTGTTGTAATTTCTGGATAATGTTGAAGTAAATAATTATTTATTTATATGTTGAAGTAGATTATTCTTTATTTTATAAATTTCTTAGTTATAAATTTCTACTTTTTTTTACCCTGATTGTAGCCTATTTGTGTAACAACGCTCTTATTATAAAGAAGATATATTATTTTAATTAAATCATATCAATTAAAATTTGGCCTGTTTACTGTAGATTTTACAATACAGCAGGCTCCAAGTATGACATTTTCAATCAAGTTTACAGTACTTCCAACATTAACCGACTAGAATTTCCGCTAACGCGGTGACACGAGCACTTTCAGCCGGGAAATTATAACAGGTATCGATTCCAGGATTTGAAATGCTAATTTTCCGGGAGCACCGACGATAATTTTATGAAACTACGAAATCAACGACGGTAAACAGATTAACGAAAATTGCGTTCTCCAGAGTGGCAGATTTGTACACAAACCGGTGTTATACGATCTCTTTCAGTTACCCTGGATCATCGAAAATCCACCGAATGAAACGTAAACGGAATTCTTTGGCAACATTTTTCATAAATATTTTAATACAGTGCTCGGTTGGAATTATTTCGAAATCTTTTTATTTTCATGTATCAAGATTTTGCAAATGTTAAAGAACTGCAATGTTTAATGATATTTAAAAGGAGAAAGGCTGACGAGGCTATCGGGGATCATAGTTAATTTTATGCTCGCAGTCGGCCCTGTAATGGCGACCTTCGTCGCGCCGTTGCCGCGTGTAATGCCAACCTTTCTGTGCCAAAAGTGACCCGAAGGATAGAATTCCTTCGCCTTGATCGGCCAGGCGAAATTATTGCTCGAGATTCTTCGACTGTTCACTGAAAAATGTGCCTTACAAACAGTTTTCCATCCTTCATTGAATTTTTTTGATTGATTGGAAATGAATAGTGTACGAAGATTCAAAGTTGGCCACTGCTGCAATAGATACCCGCCATCTTTGTACTCTCGAGGGGAATCCTAGGTTCCCAATAATGAATAGAATACTCTTCAAAGAAATGTAAACTTTTTGTTTTTTAGAGATAAATGCAAAAAATTGTTCCTTGCTTTTTATTGAATATTTGAAGATTCCAATAGTTAAGTTAGTTCGTGGTACGAGATAATTATAACTAGACGATAAATTTATAAAAAATTTAGTGAAATGACTTTTTTAGAAAAAATTAACAATATTTTTATTTCATTACTAAATTCATCTACGACCCTTTGAAATGAACAATATAATAATAGTATATATTATATATACTCTATAGAGTTCAACGAGGTTGAAAATAAATGATCTTTTCAAACAAAGTGGTCGACAGACACTTAATTCAATCTTTCTCTCGTTCCATTTGATAAAGTACGATTATCGTAGCCCTTTAAGGGAAAAAACAAAATAAAAAAGCGAAATGTAAAATCGTCCGACATTACGTTCGAGCAGCAACTTTCCTGTCGCGTCAAAGTTGACTGAATCTCAAGAGACCGATATCAACAGCGCGCGTTACTTTTCATTCAACCCTCGTATCCATCGATTCCGTTGCCCATTATTTATAAGATCGATCCGGTGCCCCTTTCACGCAACGGTACCCGAACCGACGCAGAACCCGTCGGGTGAAACGTTTAAAAATAGCAAATAAAAATAATTCCCTGCCCAGTTGCAAGTGTATTAAATTCACATCACTTTTGAAACGGGGCTGGAGGACCGTCGTGCTTTTCTCAGCGACGACACCCCCACCTCCCGTACACAACCCACCTCCCACTTTTCCATTTCTATTCACTCAATCAGCGAAACTTTCCGGTCCCTCGAACTCGGAGCAAATTGCACGGTACAAACTCGAAACGCGACGATTCCCCGACACAATGTCGTGTCCAACTTTCAGAAACATCCGCCCCTTTCGAATCCCTGAAAATATCTAAAATTTCGGGAACTACCATGGAGAAAATTTAAAAAAATATACAGCGTCGTGAAAAGAATAGTATACTAAATTTTGGATTGTTGGATTTGAAAATAAAATTGGAGTACCAGTGGGGGAATCTCCTTGGAGAAGTAGGATTCTCTTATAATCTCCGTCGCTGACATGGACGTAGCCAGGTTGTCAATCAGAAGGGGCAAATTTTATTTTAAGGTAAACTTCATATCATCCTTCTTCCGTGGAGAGAAGACAAAATTTATCTTAAGGTAAATTCCATAATGTTATTTTTTCCCTTGGGAAGGGGGGAGATAGCAAAATTTATCTTGAGGTAAATTTCATAACATTATTTTTCTCCCTTAGGGAGAGGGTAAAATCTATCTTATAGTAAATGTTATAATATTATTTTTCTCTCTTGGATGTAGGGGGGATCCAATTTTTCCTCTCTAGGACAGGTAAAAGGCCACTTTTTTCCCCTCTGGGGTGAAGGGATGCGAGTTTCCTTCATTCATCATGCAAAAATTAAATAATTCTGAAATTGTGCTTTACCAAGATTTTTATGTAATTAAATTTAACATTTTCTTCAAGTATCGAAATAAATTATTATAACACGTTCTTCCTGTTATTTCAACCCAGTCAGCCAAACCTGCACAGCCAGATTTTGTAAACACCTATCATAAGCTTTGGTAACCAGAATGGCTACAGGTTTGATGCAGGATCTGCTATAAGCAATTAGCGCGCAGATTCGACCAATATGTTTTACGATTTTGTCAGGCAGGCTCTGCCTACAAAGCTCAAATAGATGGATTATGGATTTGTAATCAAAAAAATTGTATATTTAAAATAAATTTGTTTTTATTATAGCTATTATAAAATTAAGGAAATGAAGAGGAAGGAAGGACTCACGGTTTGGGAAATCCCCTAGCGGTGGCGTGTGTAACTACCAACCTAACCTCCGGTGTTCGCCTACAAATTTGGCGCTTTACCTAACACCGTTAACCGAACTGTCTCAAAGGGAAACTCGTAAGAGAGAGAGGCTGCGTGAAATTCACGAAATTATATCGAGTTTGTCGGTGGGGCTTGGAACGGCCTCGTCTCGACTTTTCTCTCGCGACCGAAAGCCGAAGAGCTCGACTTCGAAGTCGCGCGTCGGCTCCCTTTGCAATGCTAATATCTTTGTCGTCCAATTTGCAAGTACAACGAACGCGATTTGCCGAAACGAATCGGTCGTTTCGTCGGGTTTTCCCCCTCGTTCACCCGTTGTCTCAAGGAATTCCCCGCTAATTCCTCTTACACCCGGGGATTCCCCCTTTCAGGGAGGGTTGTTCTCGCTCACGCTTTAACGGCGCCTCGGTCTGGAAAAGTGGAGCAAGGGTTGAAACTTCGTAAAGAACTTTTAGCCCCATTCTTCCTCGAAGAAATGAACGATCGATGGGGTTGTCGGTTAGTCTAGGGAATCATGTTTCCTTTTTTCACTAGATATCTGTTTCTCTGTGTTTCGTCTACCGTCTTTGATTTTTCGTTGTATATTTTCATAGAATAATTTCTCTCAATGTTTCGAAATTAAAGAATCTTCGCTTGGGAATAAGAATGAAAATTTATAATAAAGTGTTAAATGCAAGAAATTGGATTGAAGCCCACGAAGTGCAAAGTTGGAAGAATAGATAATAATAATGTTAGTTTATACGATCATTTTGTTGAAGAGAGGGTGCTAACTCTGTGGACGTTTCATGGGGATGGTCTGATAGTCGATGTGTTAATCATTCTATATTTTGTTACGGGTCAGCAGTGTATTCTTGTTATTTTAGACGGATATAATTGTCGTACAATATTGACAAAATAGAAAATTATTTATGTAAATGAGTCTTGAAAAAGAGACCAAATAGTTGGCACAGGAATCCAAGATTTGACACAAACTGTTAGCAATGAACAATAACTTATTTTGTTGCAAAAATATTTTCTTACAGATTAAGGTTGACGATAGGTATTATTTAAATGTTAGTATCCTTATTCATCGTTTACGTTACCTTATTCCGCGTGAAAACTTATATTTCAAGTGTTATGAAAATACTTTTTCAAATAAACCGCCATTTTTCAGACAGAGGTTAATTCAATGCGCACACGGTAACTTTATGGCGGTAATTTCAAAACGTTTAAACTTCTAACTTCATTAAGAATTGATCTTTGCAACAATGCAACGTTCTGCAAAAACTATTTTTTAGTATTTCGATGTATTAGTTAAACAAGAAACAATTTTCTTCGTTACTTCCATAGTTACAAAACTATCGAAATTTCGATGATAAAGTGTAAATATTATTCGACTGAAAGATTCTTGTTCGGTCACGAAGGTTCCTTCCAATTTAATTCCCCGACGAGGTTCGCAACAAATTGACCAGTTTACGAACGGGATACGCGATATACAACCGTTACGAATGCCAAAACGACTCGAATTTGGAACGGAGTCAGGGAGTCCGGGGGAACCGTCAGCGCGGAGCCACGTCCGATGTTCCCGCTTATTCGCCTTCGCTTTTAATTTATTGGTGTATTTACAGGGTACCGCTTTTGCGCC